AAATGTGATTTAGCTCCCTGAAGGCCTCGAGCCCATCTGGTGGCTCCCCTGGCGGCGCAGGCACGGGACCCAGGACCTCCTCAGCTGCCGCCAGGGCCTCGGACACGCACGGACCCGTAACAGGACCCCTGAAATCGCGAACCACCAGACCTGGCTTCGAGAAAAAGGACCTCGCGGCCCACGCTTGGGTGGGCAGAGGCTTACATTCATCATTCACAAGGTGGGCAAGGTGCCCGCTTGTGCGGGCAACGCACATACACTTGCGGCACCGGACCTCCATTGAGGGCTCGACACGAACGAGGGAGTGCGACATTAGCCTGAGAACTGGTGGCCCACCTGTACAGGGACGCCTGGGGACGGCCTCGGGCGGGTCGTGCCAAAGGTCGAGCTCGACCGCTCGGCTGGCCGCCCAAGAGACATACTTCAGGATCGCCTTGGCACGCTGGAGCTCCGACGAGAGGTACTCGGCGTGCACCGACGACACAGCATGCGCTGACGCCCCGAGCTTGGCAAACCAGTCGGCCCACAGATTCCCCACCCACCACCTGAGAGGGATCTCAAGAGAGAGGGCCTCCTCGGGGCTCTTGTGGGCGGGGGTCCAGCTAAACCTAGGGGGCGCTCTGGAACCTACCGCCCCGAAAATGAGCCTCCAAATCCGAGCATGCTTGCCTCTGGAGCTCTCAAGGGCGGGGTCCCAAGACTCGCCCTCAGACACCAAACTCAACAAATCACTCACGATGTGCCGCGTGGCAGACGCGTGCTGGACAAGACGAAGCACAGCCCATCTCTCAGCTCTGCCTACTGTCTGGATGCCCGGGAGAGGGCCGTACATGGCCCGGGCAGGCAACAAGTGTTCATCAATCTGAACTGCGGACCAACCGCATCGCGTCAACTCGGGCTGCGCCGACTCGAAGCCCGAGCCATCTGTGCACGACTCAGGGCCCCACGAAGCAGGCTCGGCGTCGCCCCAGAAGAACGTCGGGAGCGCGTTCTCCGCGGCCTTCACCGCGAACGCGTGCGGCACGCTCGGGAGGCCGTACCCGCACTCCAGGTCGTCGAAGTGGCACATCGAGCCGATCTCCGCCAACATGGCTCTAGTGGCTTCGAGGGCCTCGGGCAGCGGAGGGAGGGAGCTCCCCGGCGGCACATCCAGCAGCTTCGGGCAGCCCAGCCAGATGTGCCCGTAGTTGCCGTACTCGGCGCCGCACGCACGGCAATGCAGCTTGCCATAGCCTTCCACAACTGCCCGCCGCTCAGGAGTGAAGTAGCGGCCAGACCACAGCATCTGCAGCGCGCCCAGCTGCCTCGGCGGAAGCGCGCGCAAGCCGAGGCGAATGCCTCGGACCCACACCTGCTCGTCGCCCGAGGCCAGGTGCATGTGCCCAAGCAGCCTCTGCGCCTGCCACCGCTCGATGGACCTCATCAAATGGTGGCGAAGGTCCTCTGGCGGCACGCGCAGGAGCGAAAAGACCTCGCCCGTGTCGGACCTCACGTGGGCCGAAGAGAGCATCTCCCAACCTAGCCTCCGCAGCGACAGCCATGTGGACGTGAGCGGCCCACGCGCCGTGCCGAAGGTGGTGCCCTCGATCTTGGCGTGGGCCGCGCCCCAAGCCTTCTGCAGCCTGGCGCCGGACGTGCGGCCGTCCCACAGCCAGCCCGCGTACCGGAGGATCAACGGCACCGAGACGTCGTAGATCGGGTCGAAGCGCGGGCTGGGATGCGTCAGCAAGTAGGCCGTGCATCCAGAGCCAGGCCTCCGCCCATTCAGGGTGGCCGCAACGCGCCAGAGGTGGCGAAGCCGATGATCCGCCATGCCGCTGACGCCCGCGCCGTGGGCGACCGACGGGGCCAGCCCAATGCGCCACAGCTGCGCCGCCTTGCGCCCCGCTCCGCGGGACAGCATGGCCACTCGGCGGCCCCTCGCGACGCGGGCCGCCGCGCGCGCCGCCTCCTGCCGCCGGAACACCCTCGGCCCGTGGTGCTCGTGTCCGAAGTTGCGCATCGCCCGCCTCGGGCGCAGGCCGATCTGCACGGCCCGCGCGCGGAAGCGGTGCGCAAAGCACGCGCGGTTGAAAACAAAGCCAGACTTGGCCCGCTTGACCCGCATGCCGAGGCCTTGCACGCAACGCGTCAGCTCGACGGCGGCGACCTCGAGCTGGCTGGCCTCTGCCTCGCGGGGCCCCACGTAGTGCAGGGTGATGTCGTCCATCAGCTGCCTGGGCCGCACGTTGGGGCACATCTCGCTGCGCCTCGCCGTCGTGCGGTGGGTCAGGACCAGGGGCGCCGTGGGAGCGTGAGTGCACCCCGCCAGCGCGCCCTGGAAGACCAGCATGGCCAGCGACAGGCTGGGCCCCACCCGGACCCTACGAGGCTGGTGGTAGAGGTCAATCATCATCCACACGAGCCGCAAGGGAAAATTGCATTCCCGGGCCTCCAAAAGAAGCTGGCTGCTGTCCACCAGCTCGAAGCACTTGGCCATGTCACTGACCCAGGTGCCGCTTTGCTCGTCCAACAGGGTGGCCACCTCCTGCTCCAGGTTCAGGTCGAACGCCGAGTCGCTGGATGTGAAGCGGGAGCGATTGCCCCAGACCCAGGGGGCAGCATGGGTCTCCTCCCACCGCTTCCCCAGGGGACGGCGCAGCTTCCCCCACAAGCGCGTCAGGGTGTGGAGTAAGGCACTGAGGCGCTTGCCCCCGTCCGCCTTGCTCATCTGCACGAGCTCCGACTCCACGCGCCCGTCGGGCCACATGCCCAACCGCTCGCAGGCTTCCAGGAGCCTCGCGATCGCCCGCAGCCCCTCGTCCGACACAAAGTAGAGAGACTTGGGCGCCAGGCGAGTAGGCCCCCGGGCGGTGGTGGCCGGGTAGCTCCAAATCGCCGCCCGCATGTCCTGGACGGTGATCGGCGGCAGCAGCTCCCACTGGTCGAAGTCAGCGGGCTTGGGCAGCCACGCCGCGCCGTGGTGGGACCAGACGTCCTCCCACTCCTGGAGCGCCGCGTCGGCCACCACATAAGGCTGCACCTCGCCCTCCAGCTGCAGCAGGGGCTGCATGGGGACGATCTTGGAGGCACAGTAGTCGAAGTGCGGCGAGACCAGCAGCATGAGGCCCCTCTGCAAGTACTTGGCCACCGTCGGGTCGATGGCGGCCAGGACCGCCCGCTGCCTCGAGACCTTCACCAAGTAGCGGTGGGCCTCCTCCAATTCCCGCAGGACACCAAAGCACTGGCAGGGCATCAGGTCACACATGGCCGCCGCCAAATTCAGGCCGCCGAGCTGCTCCTGCAGCCGCTGACGAACAGCCGTAAGGTGAGTCATCCACCTCTTGGCCACGACCCATGGTCGAACGGAACCGTCGCGATAGTGCCGTCGCCGCCGTGGCCGCCATCTCAGAAGCTGCCAGCGCACCTGGAGGGGCCCCGCTCGGCCCGAGTGCGCCTTGGCCTGTGCCCCGACCTTGTCCCAGCGCGCGCAGAGCTCGGCGTCGATCCCGTGCAGCACGGCGTCCCAGAGCTGGACCAGCCCGTCGGACTCCGTGACCACCTGGGCATCCGCCGCCAGCGGCCCCCAGTCGTAAGGCGGCCTGGCACACCCAGGAGGGGGCAGCGCCGAGAGCGGCCTGGGCTCGTCGGCCACCCTGCACCAGGCTGGGCGATCGCAGCCCCGCATCCGCAGGTGCACAGGGCGGTGCGGGTACAAGTCCGAGTCGAGCTGTGCTGTCACCTGGCTGTCAAGCCTGGAGACCAGGTTCGACGACGCTGCCATGAAGTCGATGATGGAGCCCTCCCCCTGAACGCAAGTCACGTCCCCGGGGGCGAAGGGAATGGCACGAACCGACAACAGCGCCTCGCGGAGCCCCTCCACATCGGAGGCCATATTCCAGTCGCCCATGATGACGAAGTCCTCGCCCTGGGCGTTGAGCTGGCAACAGTACTCGAAAACTCTCCACAGCACATCCAAGTTGGGCCCCGCGAAGCCCACGGAGTCCACACAGTAAAGACTGATGCAGACCAGGCCCTGCGGGATGCCCCAGTGAACCCGAGCTGCGGCTGCACGGCCAGGGACGAGGGTCCCGTCGGCCAGGCCAGGGGCCGTGGTGAGGGGCACGAAAGACGGGACCAACACCGCGGCGCCGCTGCTTGTGCTCTGCGCTGCCGTCTCCAAGCCAGCCGTCCAAGCCCCATGCCAGCCCAGATCCGCCAGACGATTCTGCATCTCGCCCAGCCTGGCCTGAGGAATGCGGTGCTCCTGCACGGCAATTACCCGCACCTCGTGCGACACCTCCGCCACGTAGTCGAACATCGGGCCGAAGGAGGAAGTGTTGGCCGAGACCAGCGTGCCGACGAACTCGCTCGAGGCCTCGGCAGCCTGGCGACCACCAGAGGCGGGCCCGGAGGAGCGGGCGGCCGCTGCGGCCACGGCGGCGCCTCTGGCGGTCCCGCCAGCGCGCCCGGCGGCCCTGGCAGGGGCCCGCACGCCAGCAGCCTCGACCAGGAAGGTAGGCACCCAATCCGCCGGCGCGAGCTGATCAGCCCGCACGGGCCCGCACGGGCCCGGGGGGTCCACGCCGGGGGCGCCCGGGGCCTGCGCGGGAGTGAGTCCGCAAACGGCGGGTGCGGACACACTCCCGCCCGCACGGGGGCGGTGGCCGGGGCCCACGGCGGCCCCAGCGGCGGCCCGCGCGGCGGCGGCAGCGGCGGCCGGGGCCCGCGGCGGCGGCGGCGGCGGCCGGGGCCCCGGGGCGGCGGCGGCCCAGACTGGCCCCCGGTGCGTGCCGGCGCGCACGGAAGCGCCAGCTGCGTGGACGAAATCGTCTGGGCGGGGGGCTCCCGCGGCGGCCCCTGGCACCTCGGGAGCAGGAGGTGCCTCTGCGTACTGGGCCATAAACTCGGCCGCGTCGTCGACCTCCTCCAGGGGGTCGATCTCGTTGTCCATCGTGGTGCACGCCATCATGATCACGACAAGGCAAGCAGACCGAACGCGATGTAGCGGGTACCACCGA